CTATTTGTAGAGTGTTGACCTCCACCTTGTCATCCCACTCGCTAAGCAACACGGCATCTAACTATCGCCATAGTGCGATCTCCATAAGGCTCTCGCGAAGATCCTGATCAGCAGAGGGGCTGCACTCCGGCGACAAATCAAACACACAGGAAAATGGCCCCGACGCAGTGCGGCACTCGTTTCGTGTGATGCGAAGGCCTAGCATGGCGGATGTTGTGAGGGAGATTGCGAGCGGTGGAGGGGTGGGGGCATGGGATGAGAGAGGTGTGAGGAGAGGGTGCGGTGAAGGTGCCTCTTGTCCATGCTGGCAGCCAACAAGTATAGGCGAATGGTAGGTCGAGATGTGTGTCGTAGGAAACGCGATGCACGAGCCAGCGAGGCATGCTAATCAGGGTGCCATGGCCGAAGATGGCAGAAAAGTCAACAAAAAATATCGTCAGATTCTCGCTGAAATCTCTCCGGAATTTGGCGGCAGGAGGTCGGCGAGGTTGCTGGGTATCAGTTGACATGTGGGGTTGTGCTGGCAGACGCACGGGGGAGAGCGCCGGCGCGGGGGAACTGAAATTATCCTGAGAAGTGGCTACGACCGCGGAGGAGTAAATATACGGGCCGGCCGACATGAGGAGTAATTTTTTTACTCCTCTAGAGCCGATAAGGGATTGGCTAGGTCCGGTTTTAGCCCCTCAAAAGCAAACTTTTACTCCTCTCACCGGTTTTAAGAGTTTGACTAGATAGGACCTCTACCAGCCTAATGTAACGAAAAAGACTTCTGCCCTGCTATATATATAAAGCAACGACCAACAAACAACCCACCGCATACAAGACACACCCCATACACACCCAAAGCTGGATACATAGGTGCGCTATAGAACAACTACAATACTCCAAACAACTCCCAGCAAACTAAACATAGGAAAATTAAGCACCGATAAGTCAATGGAGCCCTCAAATGTGATCGACCCCACGAAGAGATGAAGTCGAACATCGATGGAATGAGAACTCCAATGCGGCGCCTTCGGGGAGGTCACGACACCATAGTGCCGCCATGACCCGATCGAAAGGATCAGAGTTTTCACCCAAGGTGTCTCGGAGCACCAAGAGCAGCTGCGACGGTGGCTTCAAGAAGGGTGCAGTACCACAGACACCACTTCCCCCAATTTGGCCAAAGTCACACAAAGTTTTCACCACGGCTAGCACTATCCACCACTGAAACGAGTTACGAGCAGCCGTGGGAAGACCGGTAGCACCCCCACCACTGATGGCCGATCACTACCCGTCACGCCGATGTCACAAGCATGGCAGCTATCCAGCACCCAAGTTGCGAGCCCTGCCCACAAGCACAGCGGCTCCCCCAACACAAGTCGCCGCCCAGGCCTTCAAGACCGTCCCACAACCGTTTCCATGGTCCTCAGCCACCACCGATTGGTGAGGGGCAGAAGTCCCTCCCTCCACCCCGAGACGAGCCCCTTAACGAGATCAGGGACGAGCCGGCAAGATCTAGGCAGGGAATGGCTGTCAGCGACCGCCAGCCAAGACGCACACCAAAGATCAGGGCCACCTCACACAACGACAAGGCCAGGAGGCCCCCTGCCTTCCTCCCCAGAGCACCCCTGCCACAATCTCGCCACCAATTGTTGAGCTAAACACCATGAGTAGCAAAGAGAGAGAGGGCCAAAACACCATAGCCGGCCGCCCACGGCCGGTTCCATCTACAGGGCCAGACAGGATGAGCCGCCACCGCATCTAGCTCCCAAACATGCACCCCTGCATGCCGCCCATCAAGACATTGTCACGACGCCGTCGCAAAATGCGTTGGCGCGCCACCGCGCTGCTGCGCCTGCCATCAAGCACCGCACCCCAGCCCCTTCGTCCTGCCCTGCCCCATCTGCAGGGCCAGATAGGATGAGCCGCCACCGCATCTAGCTCCCAAACATACACCCCTGCACGCTACCCATCAAGACATTGTCATGACGCCATCGCAAAATGCATTGGCGCGCCACCGAGCTGATGCGCCTGCCATCAAGCACACACCCTAGCCCCTCTGCCCCGGCCCGCGCCAGGAGATGAGAGCTTCCCACTGCCACCAGCGCTGACCAGGCTTCGCCTGGCCGTGCCCAATGGTAAAGGCGAGGGAGGAGGACGAAACGGAGGGGGGCCCCGCCATCGGCGGCTACAGTTCCCTTCCTGTCGCATGCGGGGTGACACGGGACGGGTAGGGTTTAGACTTCATACATGAATCCTTCTGCAAACCTAATATACAACCTGAGTAGTTGGCTAACTATTGTTAGTTGCACGTCTAGTTCGATTGATGTTCATCTATGAGCTGATGCTTGCATCTACAGTACATGCCCATTTTTTGTTGATTATCCTCGCCCAGGGTGCATACTAAGGTATTTCAACACCATTGGTATACAAGGAGCTGCGTTCACTTTGGCTAGTTTTCCTCATAACTGCAACTAAAAATCTTAAGGCGGTCGATCTAGTGAACCCTCATTAGAATAGTTGGTTGCTCCAGTCTTTTTAATTCCTACAGTAAAGATAATATTGCATAATTATCAAAACAATATAAAATTATACAATTAGTTCTACATCTATTATCCTACGTCTCAAAAATGAAGAGACAACTGATATCACTTTTATATGCCCTTAAGCGTTTGTGTTTCGGTAACTAAGGCAAAATTGTGACAAAAATATCATTTAATTTGCTCTTCACGCATTCCAATTTTGTTTCCACGCATTCTAATTTTGTTTCCATGCATTCTAATTAACTATGAAATCCTGTGATAAAACCAGGTACCTCATTGTTGTCGATGATGTATGGACAGTAGCAACATGGGACGCAATCAGGTCCAAGTTGCCAGACTACAACAACGGCAGCAGGATCATTGTGACCACTAGGATAGAGACTGTGGCCGAAGCTTGCAGTGATGCTAGTGTTGATGGAGACTGCATTTATCGTATCAAGCACCTGAATACTGAAGATTCCGAAAAGTTGTTCCTTAGTAGAGCATTTGGTCGCGAGGATGCCACTTTGTCAGATGATCTGAAAGTTGAGATGGACAAAAATTTAAAAAGATGTGGTGGCCTTCCAATGGCCATTATTAGCATTGCCAGCCTGTTGGCGAGCTATAAATCGTCAGAGAGCAAAGATATGTGGGAAAGAGTTCGCAAGTCGATTGGCTCTCACATGGAGAGCCACCCTACCCTTGAGGGGATGAGACAAATAGTTACTCTCAGCTTTAACCACCTGCACTATTATCTTAAGGGTTGCATGATGTACCTCAGCATTCTCCCAGAGGATTATGTCATCCCCAAGGATCGTCTCCTGAAGAGATGGATCGCAGAAGGATTGGTTGTTGAGATCCGTGGATTGACCTTAATGGAGGTTGCAGAAGCCTACTACAATGAGTTGGTGAGTAGAAGTATGATTGATCGGGCCGGTGATATTGTCACCTGGTATGATGGGAGGGTTGAGACATGTCGGGTACATGACATGATGCTAGAGGTCATGGTGTCCAAATCCCTAGAGTCTAACTTTGTTAGCATAGTAGGTGGTCCGTACAAAGGGATGTCATATGATAGGATTCGCCGCCTATCCATCCATGGCGGAGAAGAGGCAACCGAAGACTCTCCATCCAACAAAACTGAGGCAGGGCATAGTAGGAAGAATGACATCGAGGGGGTGAAAATGGAGCAAGTCCGATCGCTGAGCATGTTTGACCCCGAAGATCACATGAAGGTGCTTGATCGTCTAGGCAAGTTCACCCTGCTCAGGGTACTTGACTTGGAATACTGCACAGGCATTAAAATAGAGCATCTGAGATATATCTGCCGGATGTACCTTCTAAGGTTCTTGAACTTGAAAGGTACAGCTATAAGTGAGATGCCTGAAGAAGTTGGTGAACTAGAAAATCTAGAGATGCTTGATGCACGTGAGACGCACCTTAAAGATCTGCCAAAAACTGTGTCGAAGTTGCAGAAACTTGAACACCTGCAGATCTCCAACCATGGTAACAATAATGGTTGGATTGCACGCCGGGGACAGGGTAGGATGAAAGCACTACGGACGGTGAATAAACTAGTTCTCAAATGTGATGTTAATGCTGCCCAAGAGATCGGTGACCTACAACAGTTGAGAGAGTTGGGTATTGTCGTGGACATGACTGACATGAGCAGTCCCCTTGTTCAGGAAGTTAACCAAAAGCTTGCCGAGTCCTTGAGCAAGATGTTTTCCCTCCGGTGGCTCAATATTCGCAGCACGAGTTATGACAAGAATGCAATGAACTTTCTTCATGACGTCAAGTCGCCGCCGCGGCTCCTCCAGTATCTTAGGATCGGCGCCGGCATCAGCAAATTACCTGACTGGATCGGGTCACTGAATAATGTCGTTGATCTTTTCATTGCCTGGACATTCGTAACTGGTGACCAACTATTCGAACCAGCATGTAAGCTGCGAAATCTGGAGCGCATGCACTTGGAGGTGTACTGCTACGGCGATAGAGAGCTGGTTGCGCGAACTGCCCACACCTTTCCGGCACTCAAGGAACTGTCCGTGGACTTCAATGGAGACAATATGGAAGCTGTCCAATTTCAGGAAAAATCAATGGTAAAGCTCGAGAGACTTATACTGCAATTTTGGGAGAGAGAGGATAAAACAGTTGTTGGCATCGAGCATTTGACAAACCTTAAAGAGGTGAAGCTCACCGGTACGAGACACAACCCTGCATTTGACCGTGGAGTGGAGCAAGTAAAGGCAGTGAATATGAGCCGCCCAAAATCCGATCAGATCAAGGTTGTAGTGAAATACGAGTGATCACTCTGTTTCGCCAATCCGCTTGCTTACAGGAGGTTGATTTGGTTCATTATCTGTTTCACAAGTGATGTTTCTAGTTTGGTTCTTTCTTCAAATCTGTTTACTTCTTTCCTGTAAGTTGTGTCGTTGCCAACTGGTTGCTATACCTACCGTTCAAGACTTGTGTTTATTATAAACAAGAATTTTATTGTATAATAAAGCCTGCGTTTGCAGCAGTTAAGACTCTGTTATTGTCTTGGATGCTGCTCTACATTTCCAGCAAATGTCACTACTAGAATATGCAAATAGCCCTAGGGCTAGATACCCTAAGCAAAAGGGCAAAAACACTAGGAAAAGTTGTTCCCCTAGTGTATACCCTAGGGAAATCGCCCTAGGGGTCAAGTGGTGGGGAAATCTTGGTTTCCCTTGAGTTTCGAAGGGATACCCTAGGCATTGTTTAGTTTCCCTTGGGCTTTGTACCCTAGGGAAACAAGGGATAGGTGGCATGGCTGCTGACTTGTAAAGTAGATATTCTTTGGGTTAGTTCCACTCCCTAGGGAAAGACTCAACAACCATTAGTCCATCCAGCCCTTGGGTTTACGAACCTTATGAAATTAATATTTATAAGTATTGCAACGAATTACACAACTTAATATTTGATTTGCACAAATGTAACTACTAATGACAAATGTACATAATACCTCCAAAAGGTTGAAGACACAAAAGCTCGTAAATTATATATTTCAACCATCATTACACATGACAACATCCATTAGAGCACACACTAGTAGAAAACGGAGTTTTAAAACCAGTTTGTAAGGGCCTTTAGTGCCGGTTATGGAACCGGCACTAAAGTGTGGTCACTAAAGCCCCTCCCCCTTAGTACCGGTTCGGCACGAACCGGCGCTAAAGTGCCACCACGTGGCGTGAGCTCACGCCCTGGTATGAAGGACCTTTAGTACCGGTTGGTGTTACCAACCGGTACTAAAGTTTTTTTTTTGAATTTTTTTTTGAAAATTTTGGAAAAAAATTGATTTTTTTTTATTTTTAATTTTTCTGAATTATTTGATGATTTAGTCTCTAATCACCTCTCTTAACTGCTCAAGTGTGGATCACTTATTCCAAATCATCTAACTTCCCGACTGGTCACCCATCCCTCTCACTACTCCAGCCCGAGCACGCTTAACTTTCAGGTTCTATTCTCCTTCGTTTCCAAGTCTGCACTTGTTGTTTTCCTAACAATAGTAAGATGTTAATCCTATTAACCCTCAGGAGTTTAGCTTGAGCATGAAGTCACACATTTCACCGTTTGAGTTTGAAACTATTATTCTAAAAAAACAGTAATTATTTAGTAACGCTAATATTTCTTGAATAAGTTTGACCATAGTTTGACCAGATTTGACCAAAATTGAAATAATTATTTAGTAACACTAATATTCTTGAATAATTATGTAGTAACATTAATACTTCTTGAATAAGTAGTTTGACCAGATTTAACAAAATTTTAAAAAAAACTGAAATTTGACCATATCTTTTTTTTCTTTTGGAATTTGAGGATTCTAAAAAATTCCAAACAGGCCGTGGGCTGTCTCCATCGGATGCGGATTTTTGTGCTGAATTTTTTGATATATTATACGTTTTTTTCCGACATCGTATGCAAAAGTTATAGCCATTTTACATTTTCCCTACACTTTTTGCAAAACATGTCCAAATTTAAGTTTTCAAATTTTCCTAACTAGTAGATGTAGTAATATAACTGCCTCTCGAAGAATTTTATTTTTTGAAGTTTTTATCATTTTCTTTTGATTTTT